ACGCTTTCGTTTAGTCCCTCTATTTTTCGTTTCTACAAGTTTTATTGCATTCACAATCTTCTAGGATGATATCTCATCTCTCAGTCTCTCAAGTAGATGAATAGATGGGTGGATGGGTGGGCTTTATAGGTGGTACAGGTGGATGATAGAAAGATGTATTAATAATTCATAAATGAGTGGGTGGATAAAAAGATGGATCCAGAACTCTGCAACACGAATTATGCCATGAAAATGGCGTTTTTAATCTATTTTCTGTTTTTGAATGAAATTGGACCAGCTTGTCTGACTCTATGATGATAAATTGGAATTAAGCGAGTGAAAAATCATATGTCTAGTGAGCTGGTAGAATAATTTGATTTTTTATAACTTTCGTCGATCGTAAATTACGTTTGTTGTGAATTTTGACCTGTTTTTTGAATTTTCCCGAAAACTCAGACCCGTTGGGCCAAATGTGAAGGCAGATTCACATTCAGCGGAAAAAGTACATGGAAATACATGGGTCTGAATACCAGATCCGATTTTTTTTTGTGGGTATGTGATAATCAACCAAGATTTAGTGCAATTTTATGTACACTAAAACGGTTTCATGCAATTTACTCAAGCCCCTTAATTAGAAATAGACATTTTTACAATTTTTAACTTACCTCGGCAGCAGGTGATCTACAATGGGGCTTAAATTGGGGGGGGGACAATAAACAATGTCTTAAACTTGCAAAAAAAATCCTGAATTTGAGAACATTCTCTCGGATTATTCACTTATAATTAAAATATTGTCATAAAGGAATACAATTATCAAATTGCCTAATACTGAGTGAAAATGGAGTTAATAATTTTATACAGTGGGTTCACCCAGTACTTTTAATGTTTTCTCACACCAGTTTTTTGCGTTGTACCCGCTGTTAAATGTTTTACGTCGCGGGGGAAATTTTGTTAAAAAATGTTTACAAACAGCGAAAATCTGATTGAATCCCATGTATAATATTTCCCAGGCGGGGGCGTCTGAACTTTCGAGAGAAAATTTATAAAATACAGCATTTTCCGATGGAATAGATTGCCCATGTCAGATTTTACTGCCCCTAAAATATGTACGAAATTTAATTCAAAGAGGGCTCACGTAGGAAGTAAACACGTTCTTAATTTAGGATTTAAAGATTAGATACGGTACGGGAGCGGAGCAAGGGACGGGTATAGGCATCCGAAAGAGACGGCTTTGATTAAACGACAGCCAATATGCCTACATTTTTTTTTAGTATGCAAAGAGTGTTGGGCTTTTTCCTTCGCAGATATGAATATGCCAAATAACGATTTCAGTATTCAACAGTGTTCCACTTTTCAGTTGGATTTTTATTCAGCTCGTGTAGAGCGAATGCGTATTTCCAATATGGGAAAGCCCGACGCGACGCGGCGTGCTAATTAATAAGGGGTTCCAGTCGCAGGAAATAAAAGGACTTGTAGGTTATATTAATTAGAAAACTATAAAACGCAAAAAAGGAAGGTATTATAATGAAAATTTCCATATCTTGTAAATATCCCTTTTAGTTTACTGAGAAATACATTGCGCCCAAAAATGATGTAACAAAATTCATATTTTTTTCCAGTTCAGATTTAAAAAAATCGCTGAAACAGGTCAATTAGTACATAGAAATTGTCACTTTTCTACAATATTTTCTATGTTTTTGATCCATGTTTGACATACCTTTATCATTATCGACATTCTTTTTTAATAGGACACTATTGTTATGTTTTTGATATGCGCGCGCGTGTGTGTGTGTGTGTGTGTGTGTGTGTGTGTGTGTGAATTATTTTACTTTATTTTACTTTACCCAGGCGCCAATAAGATCTGGTCTTATAAATTATTTCAGTTAGAGCTTGCTCTTTCTCAGGGTGTTTCACTATTTTTTTTATATATACGAAATGAAAAATACTATTTAACATGAAATGAACAAAACATATTGCATATCTAATTTTGCAGACAATGGACAAATTGTATTCTTACTTATTATCCTAAATCTACTTTATCCTATACTAATTTAGAAGGTGAAATTTTGAAATTTAGTCGACTTTTGTATTTTAGAACAGAATTTTTTTTAGCTATAAGTTTGATTGTTATACACGAATTCGTACGATGAAATTTTTTAATTGGCCAATTTGTAGAAGTATGTGACTCACGTATCGCTTTAGTGTATTTCTGGTTTCGGAGATGCCATCCAGGTGTCGTGAACTTCGTCCTGGTTTCATATACTTGAGATTCCAATGGTTGATTGTGTTTGCACTTCGCCTGTTTTCTCACAGCACTTCAATAGTTTTTAATTGGAAATTGATTCCTTGCACTTTTGGTTAAATGACACTTATTCCCATCATATAATATCTATATATGGTGAATATCTTTACAAAGTTGTACTAGGTTATACATTTTAACTTTCTAGTATGTATTATTGCTTTCATTAAACGGTTTTATTTAAAATTTTGCATTATTTAATTTATTTTGACATATTGATGTTATCATGTAACGATTTTGCCTTTTATGTACTAAAACTTCTATATGTTAATTTGTATCCTTCATTTTCTCCTATATAGTATAACACATCCCTGTTGTCAGAGTTCTCTATTTTAGTATGTCATAATTTTCAAAATTTCATTGTATTATGTATTTGTGTATCGTTGTCGGCTTTCAGTATCATAACATAATAGGCTTTTTTTCGTGAGTGAAGTCGTATGTTGTAGTATGTGTAGTATGAGTGAATATTACTTTTTTGCGAGAATAGTCAGTCATTTAAACTACTATGTGACGTCACAAGTTTAGATCAAATGACTGAACTCTTCACCCTTCAGCTGAATATTCTGTTGGTATATTCAACTAGTATTGTCAGCCGGTAACTTAACCTTTTTCTTTTTGACATTTTGTTTGAATGAGGATAAAAATCGTTCAGCAAAATGATGGATTCTGATACGGCTGTGGAAGTGGTCAGTTTAAATTTAAACTTTAGAGGCACATATGTTTTAGTAAACGTAGACGTTGAAACAGCAAATATTTTACTTAATGGTAAGATTAATTCAGATTAAGAGTATATGATATGATTCTCTAAACTTATAACATAAATAAGGAACATCATCATTCTCATTCCACAAAAATATCAAAAAATATAGAGCCATGTCACAATTTCTGTTTGGTAGCCATTGACATAAATGACCAAATTCCATTGTCTTACTATAACGATTATGTCGAATATTCGCATATCCTGCAACATCAGAATCTACATACTTTTCACGCTTTTTAAATTTCCCACTTAAAAATATTCCAAAGAAAGCATTGATATATTCCTTCAGTTTTATTTGAAGCAAATACATATATTATATAGTGAGATAACACCAATTCCCACAACACTAGATTACTGGAAGCAATAAAGGATGACAAATTATGATTACTGGTTAGAAGTTAGAACCGATATGTCAAAGTCGTCAAACTACATATGACAGGCTGCACCACCGAATAGTGGTGTTCGCGATCTGTTCAGGTTACACAAGGTTAGAACTAAGATTAAAAGAGATAGAAACAGTAACTACAAGTCAGACGTATTCACCAATATTCACTCGTGAAAAAAAGCCTTATATATTCACATCAAAGTATTCACTACAACCACCAGTGGCGGGGTAGGCAGGTAGTCAGTGCCCCTTTAAAAAATAATCTCTACCCTTGTGAGTTTACCTTTAGCGACTTGAATAAAGAGTACCTGCTTGAAACAGTTCTTTACTACTTTTCAAATGATCTATCAACATTATAAATAGTTATTAAAACAACATATTTTTTTCGGTTTCGGCATCTACTGAAATTTTTCTCTAATAGGTACAATAGATCTTAATCTACGTAGTGCATGTGCCAAAAATAAGGCTGATAGTAATAGACCTTTTTAGTAGTGACGTTACATACGCCAAATAATAGACAATCCCATAGTACACTTTGCCATGAAGAATTTCTCATTATTTTTACTAGATCGATTTTCAACCTTCCATAATTTTAACATGCCTAAGTGCCAAAAAATGTTTTCTTTTTACGACCTTAAATATCGTTATATTCTGTAAATTTAAGAAATATTTAGGAAGTTTCAAATCCCAAGTGACAAACTAAAAGAATTATAGAATTTATATATTTATATTTATAGAACAATATTGACTTTTATACTAATTAATAAATTGAAATTATATCAATGTTAGCGAGCATGCGCATTAAAGATAATTTCATGTAAGCGAAGTAGCCTCGCAACAAGATATTATTCCAAAAAGTTTGGTTATGGTTACGCGTATCTCAACTTTGTGATTTCTTGCTTTCTTTCTCAGTTTTGTAACAATTTTTGATATCATCCCTAAAAGACCAGTTACTATGAGTGCAACTTTTGTACTTTGAAGAAAAGAAGTTTATCGAAAAGGAAGACAATCCTGTTTCCTCTGGATATGTACAAAAAATGCTTTATGATGATGAACCTTTAGTTATCTAGCAAGTATGAAGAGGAATATTCAACTAAACATATGACTCTTTTAGTTTGGCAGCGCTTGCCATCTTTGCTTACACCAATTTGTCTACGACAGACATGGTCTGCAAATGGAACAAACTAAAGAGTATTCTTTCTGAGCATGCGCATTAGGAACACGGCTAATGTTAAAGTTTGAAGTTGTTCATTTTTATGGTATCTATGTAAATAGTACACAAGGGTTAGATTCGGTCTATACAATTTCAACTTTGATAATTTGTTGTGTGTTGCCTAAATATGGGACGTCATACTAAAATCTATTAAATTAAACAAGTTATTTAAGAAAACCACCAAGTTTAACAAAAAAATTACATTAGTTTTTTGCTGTGTACATTTTTCGTTGGTAAAGCTATCCGTACACGAGCGTCTCCTCCCGCGAGAAAAGCTCGTGTACGTCCATTAAGTAAACTTGATGTTTTTTCTTTAACAACAGTTTAGACAAATATATTTTATACACAAATTTTATATACTTACATCTAACCACGAGCTTAACTGGGTTGCTGGTTCCCCTCCCTTCAAGATTGACAGCTACGCAGGTGTACTCTCCAGCCGTGGATCGGACTACGTTTTGGAGGACTAGACTCTGGTCACTCATTATGATGCCGGCTGTGACGTTTTGGAATATTTCCACACCCTGGAAAAAATTTTCAGCAGAAATAGATTGCTGTCTAGGGCTTCTACTCTAAGAGAATTTTGTCTTTGTCAAAACATGAACTATTTTGTTTTGTACTTATATACGCGAAAGTAAGGATTTTCTCATGGCTTAGTTGATTCCTATTCATACATTTTTTTTTAATTAAATCATTAAACAATTGCGTATACCTGCCTAAAAATTTTTAAAAGACCACATTCAAGTGATGAGATTTTAATTTGTCAACAGATTGATAAAAGTGCACGATCAAGAATACATTTTTTTATAATATCTCCAATATAGGCGATGAGTACATATGAAATTTGGCACAAATATTTATATTCCACAGCCTTAAGGAAAAAAATGCATTGTTTGATGGACTAGACCATCTCCCTCATACGTTTTTGGAGTCGCTGAATGCGAACGGTGTCCGTTTGACGTAGCTCATTTTCAAGGTTATTCGAAGGTCACATTATTGAGTTTTTTTTCATTTTTAAAGTCCTTTGACGGTAAAATCTCCATATCGAAATTCTCAGGTTGATATTTCGCGAGGATAGCAAGGTATTGCGAAAATTACCCCCATAAAAGTTGTCTCGATGATCGAAGACCACCATTTGATGACCTTGGTTTTGACCTTGAAGATAATTTTGATAAAAACCTACTAGAATCGACTCTTAAGACGATGATATCATACTTTTCGTATGCATGAGACTTAGTTTTTATAATTTTGAGGACATATAAATGGCAACGATGGACTTCTTATTCGAGAATTTGGTCCCACATACTCTCAGCTTGTAGCCTTAGCATAATTGGTTTCACAGTGAGGATATTTCAAATTCTGCTACCTCAGAATATGCTCGAGATGGTGACACTGCCCCCAAAGGGAATGTGTGGCATGATCCATCCTACGGTATTGTTATTACCTTCAAAAACATGAGTTGACCTTGAAAAACTTGATGTTCGATTAATTAAGGAATATTGACATAACTGCGTGCATAAAATACCATAAAATATAATGTTTATCACGTTTTTGAACTTCTTTATGCTTAATTCTAAAAAATTATCAGCGTTGTAATAAATTTAAAATTCGATAAAATTCATATCCACCACAAGTGTGGTGGACATTATGAGCAAATGTCATAGTTTGTTTTGTACTTGTGCGTTTAAAAATTACTAAAATTTGCTTTTTGGTAAGTACCTAAATTAGTTTGAATACGTATGATTATTTAGATGACGTGAATATTTGTATACTTTAATTACATATTTTTCAAATTCCTAATTTGATTAAAAGTTAAGTTCCTGTTTTAAGAGATTCATAATTACTAAAATTCGAGCTAAAATTTAAGCACAACACTATCTTCTTACTACAAAATAGTTACATTTTACTTTATTTATTTAAAAACTGGAAAACAATTGTCTTGAAATTTACTAAATGTTTCACAATAATAGTTGTTTACATTTTTTCCATAGGACAAGTCTGCTTGTGATGAAACTGCCCAATATTAATATTCGATGTATTTTGAAAACTGTTAATCTTACGCCCTTGTAATATACAACTTTTTTGTTCATTTATGATTACTCTACACCCTGTATGTTAGTGAAACCTAAATTAATAAAGCTGTTAAGTAAACAAAGGCAATTATAGATTTAGCTAATAACGATACTCACAGTTTAACAATTTTCTATCGAAAAAAAAACGCATGTAACTCTCTCGACTACTATCATAGATAGATATATGGCACAGAAAGCAAAGATAGAAAGCAAAGGGAGCAATTTTAATTCGTTCTAGCTATTTATACTCTAGCGCAGATGGCGCTTTGATAATATAAAAGCGTATTCGTTTGCAATATATGAGCTCTTTCCGATGTTATACGAGGTGCTTGGAGTATAATGAAAAGGGTATTATTACTAGGAGGTTATAGAATTAAATGAAATTGAGGAGAAAATTGATGTTATATAAGAATTTAATTATAATGTAACGGAATCAATTAAAATTTCGTTACAGTGTACATTTTCTATGTAATGTACCCTGCTCTTTCAGAAAATGATACTATTTTTTAAAATCATTCAGCAAAAACCGAAACATGTTACGCGCCAGAAGAAAGTTTTTTTTCTGGATTTTCTCCGGGACTTTAACGCACAAGTATCGGAACTACACAAACTACTTTGAGCGTGTATTTTACTTCCAATTCTTTTTCTTCTTCTTAAAGCGGGATGAAGGCATTTAGCGCCGCCATTTCCAGCGAGCGTCCCCCGCCAAGTAAACATAGTTTTAATTAATTTCAGGAGTTTACACTATTAATCTAATTTCATTAGGAGCATGGAAATAACCAAAACGCTGTGATACTCCCAGGCACCCTGATACCCGTTCCATTATAAATTAATGGGGCGAGTACGGCTCTTAAACATTTGCAAATGAAAATGGCTTATCTGCGCCGGCGATACCGTATGTAATTTAACCACACACAATGAGTTTTCCGCCTTGTTTTGGGAAGTACCTATCTGATTTACTGGCCCTGCATTAAAATAATGAGACGTTATTTTCCCCACCGTCCGACCACATAGAAGATGAGTTTTATGGATCGTATTAGAACTATTTATCAAATTGTGTTAAGTTAGGTAATTATAAAATAACTGGGTAAGAAATAAATAATACTAATACGCCAGTTGAAATAGAGTTGGAACGTAAAAAAATTATTGTACCATAACATATTAGTTTTCACAGTAATAAAAATGAGGGGAGATTGTTTACAGGCTGGGCAATTGTATAATTTTTACGTAAATTCACGTTTTTCGCTTATAACATTTTTCCGTTCATTTCAACGAGAAAACAGTGAGGTACTTTTTTTCGTCTTCAAAAGATCTACAAACTACTAGCCCTCGAGCGCCAAAAAATATTTATTACATCAAAAGTTATAAACAGAAGAAGTTTATTTATGACTTTTGAATTAAACACTTATAAATTGCGTTATTATTACCAGAAAGTTCTTTACTACCCTGTAATGCCTTGCGGTACGTTTTCGATGGGCTACCCTGTATATTTCACATTTGTCACTGCAGGTATATTCTTGTTAAGATCCGCGAGGGAAATTGAAGAAATTAGTCTGAAATCAATCGAGTTTTATATGGGATTAAATGACAATCACCAGCAACAAAATAGCTGTGCAACATGCAATCAACGAAATAATTCAGCTTGCGTGTTTCGCTGCATTTTCATGGGATTTTGTGTTCTCCACGAGGCTTCAAGTCTCCCATTGTCTTTTCTCTTTGTAACAGGTAATTACAGCGAGCAGTGGGAACAAACATTAACGAAATGTAGAGACAAGAGAAAACAATAGACAACATCGATTTTGCGGATAAATCTTGAATAGTATACATGCGACATTCATATTTGACCTGGATTTCACTTTTTTCTTATCTTGTTTGGTGACTTATCCACACCTTGCAATATTTTGCAGATAGGTTGTAAAAATTCAACTCAGTCCCATTTCGTTGTATTCTGATGTATTGTAGCAGTAGTACACGCACATGCCATGCAATTTGATCCAGCGAAACAAGCATCCAGGGGACACACCAGAGTGAGGCAAATGACCACTGGTGACCAGAAAACGGGAAACCAATAAGAAACAAATATATTTCAAATATTCTAAGAAGTAAAATATACAGTATAGGAAGAATGTTGATCCAGGTGAGACGTCAACTAAATGATGGACTTGCCAAAACTTTTACTCGAAGAGAACCACTTGAACGTTGGATTTGTGGTGAGAAAGGACATATAAATCGAGGTGTCTCAAGTTAAATAATTATTGCTGCTAATGCAAAGAAATATAATTTTATAACTAGAAAATAAGTAGATTGATATACTTGCTTGTAGATATCGAATAAAATCGAGTTTAAAATACTTATAATTATACATTTCCATCTTTAAATTATTATTTTTTACCCAATACGCATAAATAAATGCCACGAGTTGCAACAGAAATTTAGCAACAGCGCACGAGCATGCTGAGTTTATTATTGGTAAGTTGGCAGTCCTTGTCATGTATATAGGTATATACGATGCTATGTGATCGCTCGCACAGCTGATTTTTTTAACCTATAGAATGTCGGATAAAGGACAGAGCCGGTAGAATGGAAAATTTGTGACCAAAAGAAAGTATATAGCAAAAGCAGGAAAAAAGCTGTTGAAGAGATGATTGTGGAGCCACAACCTCCGCACACCGTTCGAGGGCGTCAACTAATCGACATAAGAGTACATGGCACAAAGCATGCACTGCTGTTTTTGCAAAGAACTTTTACATATTATAGATTATCTACAAACTATGATCTCGAAGTGATTCGCGTGGAAAAGTTTAAATATATTTTAGTTACATGCATGGGTAGCATACTACTAAGATGTACTTCTGTGAATACAAATGTTCCTTATAAGACAAGGGTTTAAAGCGATTGTATTTATGAAAATATAATACAATTTGATATATACAGGGTGTTTCAGTTCGAGTGAATCAAACTTTAACCACAAATAGAACTCAATAAATAATTCAGAATTGCCTCATAAAGCAAGGGTCTAAGTCTCACCGTTTTTACTGAACAGGGCCTTATTGGTCGGTTGTTAAAATCAGCGGCCCCAAGTCAGAACCTTGAGAAACACCTGAATATACTTTATATTTTTTTGAAATGAATATTTTACCGAGATTGTTCTATTTCGTGAATAAGAAATAATTTTAATAAAACATCTGTTACTCCATTGAGACATCATTATTTTTATGGTACACTTTATTGAATGCTTCTTTTTTGAAGATCAATGTAACTGGCATCTATCTAAACTATTACAAAAAATTAAAGGGTCAAAAGAATTTCCGAAATTTTTCCGTGATTTTTGACAGACTGTATTTAGGTGAAAAATGGTCGTATCGGGAATTAAAAAAAGCACTTTGAAGCTCTAAGATTCTAGTTTTTAGATCTGTCGGCCGAAATTTTTTAAGAGCTACGATTTTCATGCA